ATGGTTGGTCCCTGCCCCCCCCCAAAGCTGCTTCCCATCCCCTCCTTTTGCCTGGCCCCCCTCTTTTCCCCCAGGCCAGTCCCTGCCCCCTGGCCAGTCCCTCTTCCTCCCCCTCCCCCCAAGATCAAGTGTGTCCAGCTTTTCTGGGGAGGCAACCCTACGAGTTGGATCCGGTGCAGCCACCAAGTATTGTTAGCACATGCCGTCAAATGCCAGCAGTGCCCCACTGCTATATATACACTGGACAAACTGGACAGTCTTTATGGGAAAGAATCAATGGACACAAATCAGATATACGTAAAGGAAATGTACAGAAACCTATTGGGGAACATTTCAACCTTCTAAATCATACTCTGACAGATCTCCAAGTAGCTGTCTTGTCACAAGTCAGATCCACAAGTCAGATCCACAGAGAAACATTGGAATTACAGTTCATCCGCAAATTCAATTCACATGCTAATGGACTCAATCGTGATGAAAGTTGGTTGGGACGCTACCAATTTAACAACCATTGAAGGTGCAGTATCCTTCCTGACACGGGGAATCTATCTATTGACTCTGATTTTTATCTGCTTCGGTTTAAGTACACATTCTCCAGATACTTACTGATGCTCTGTCTCCCACCTCCTTTTTTTTCCCTCTCCCCGCTCCCTTTCCCCTCTCCTATTTATTTCGAGTGTTCACATCTCAAACTCATAACTCCAGTCATCTGAAGAAGTGGGCTGTGCCCACGAAAGCTCATGATAACATCTAAATGTTTTGTTAGTCTATAAAGTGCTACCAGACCATTTGTTATTAATTGCAGAGGTCAGCAAACCAGCATGAGCTGCTTCAAAGATCATCTCTGGTAAGGCCCAGTAATGCAAACAGCCACCAGAGGGCGGGTTGAAAACAAAGCAGCCAGAAAGGAGGAAAAAGCCCTGAAGACCTGGTTCCAGCTCCAGCGGAGAAGAAAACAAGAAAAGTAAAGACCCTGACACCCGTCCCTCTCCCCTCCCAGATGACCATATTTTTAAAAATAAAACAGCCTGGGGGAGGAGGACTTCCCCAAACGGTCCCTCCCCTGCCCTAGCAGGGTTCACACAAGCCACCCTCTGTTTGCCTCCTGAGGCTGGGACTGACCCTCCCCCCACATCTTATTCTGGGACTGAGTCCCCCCTCCTGAACTCTGCACTGCCCATTGTGGGGTCTACCTCCCCTCCCCCCAGGCCTGGGGCGGACCCTTCCCCTGAGCTTGGGGGCTGAACCCCAACCCTGAGCACTATGCCACCTGCAGTTGGGAGCTGAGCTCCCCTGAACTCTGCACTGCCCACAGCAGAGTCTACCCTACTCCGGCCCTGAACTGCCCGTAGCTGCAGCTGACCTAAAAAAGGACTCATTTGAATAGGACACAAACATATTGATTATATAGAAGAATTTAAGTTCAGCTTTCACGATAGAATTTCCATTACAATACTTCAGTGAGGTGAACTGAAGTTTTTTTTTTTTTACAGGGTAAATGTTTTGTAATAAAAAATAAATATAAAGTGAGCACTATATACTTTGTATTCTGTGTTGCACTTGAAATCAATATATTAGAAGATGTATGTAGAGCATGTTCCCATTATATATACAATCATTTTGACAAATCATATTAGGACACAGTGTGATGGTTAAATAGTATTCTAAGGCAGGATTAACTAATGAAATTAGGAAATATTCTCTTTCAATACTATTTTGTTTCTTATTTATAATTCATTTTAATCTGTGTGTCTTTAATATCATTTCTATGACAGGCCCATAACTTCCTCCCTGACTCTTACAGACATAATTGCAGAAAACATAAAAGCTTCATCTCTGTAAATCCAATTAAAGCTTTCTCTCATAAGACAGACTTTAACAGATTGAATGTAAGTTTAATGAGTGAGACTGGAAAAGATTACCTCTACCATAACAACAACAACAACAACACAATTAGAACATTTTACCCATGCAGTTCAGTTTAAAAAAACTCCAAACTATTCCACAATGTAAAAGAGAAGCACAAGTACTGTCAAACTAAAAGGAATATACTTATTAGATGACCCTTTTCTGAAACAGTCACTACTCCCACTCCCAAAATATCTGAACTTCAAAAAAATCATCTGTTATTTCCAAGATTAATATTTTGCTAGATTAGTAATGGACTTCTGCTTGGAAATTTATCAGAATCTTATATTCTTCACTTATTTTTTTTTTTAAAAACCTAACTGCTCAAATTAATCAGAAAGGAATATTAAGAGATATATATACTGAAAACTTATAATTATTTCACTGGTGTTATACATTAAAATGCAAAAGAGAATGTGTAAATATTTATTACATACACAATTACTGTCTTTTGAAATTTGAGTTGTCAGTTGCTGAGAAAAAAAATCTATCATTCTATGTTACTTAGAATTTCACTACAGCATTACATTCAAGTTGCTTTATTCAACAGCCTAAAGTTAAAGGAAAAAAGCAATTTAACAAATTCTAAAATTATGTGAAATTGAGACCACTTGTACTTTGCTTTTGTGGTAAACGGTGAGAGTGAAAACCATTAATTTAGGTGAATAGTCCCTACCTGCTGTTTGCGTTTTCTTCACCTGAAACTTGATTTTGCTTGATAGCTTGTAAATAGCAATTCCCATAACTGATTCTCTGCAGCTTTATGCAGAAATGGACAAGCAACTGAACAGGCAGGCAGCAAAGCAGATGCTACAATAAACAGACCTTGGTAATTGAGCTTCAGATAGGAGCAAGGAAAAGAGATGGTGCTCAAGAGCACAAGTCCCCACATTCTGATGTGTTCTTTTTTCTGGCCCTTGTAAATTAGAACACTAATTCCAATGATGCCCTGAACGAAATTTGACTTTCAAATTCATATGCATATTGACTGTGCAACCAAAACAAAGAGTTCAGAGAAAACAGACTTATGCTTGTGTCTTTTATAACTGAAATAAATCCTTCAGAACAAGTCTTTATTTCTAGCTTTGAGGAAGCTATTTTGTGTAATTCTACTTCTCCATAGACTGGAAAGTTAGCCAGTACAACCTATATTACTGGATTGTGGTTTGCTTCCCATCATCACAAGAAAAATGATTACTATAGTTGCTGCAATAGAAATGTACTTTA